GATCTTATATATTTTTTAAAAGCTAATCAAATTAAAGACGTGTTTTAAAATATATATGTCTGGATATCACTCACTTAACTGTAGTGATCGGTAAGGTTAAGGGTTAGGGCAATAAGCGACGCTTTGACCACCACGGAGCGTATATCTTTTGGCATTAGCATCTCCATAGTTTAGTTCCTTAAGGCAATATAAACACGTGAAACACGATAGTACTATTGACACTTCATCACCACCACGGTGATACCAACAATATATATTAGTGATTAATTGATTATATAAGATAATCAAGATTTTTTAGTATATAATAACGAAGCTATATACTATTATTGTACTTTTCTATAATCTAGCTAAAATTCCTCTATATAAGCTCTCCTTATATCGTTGTAGAAGATTTATTACAAAGACTTTTTTGTTTTAATGTGGAGAAAGCTGAAAATCAGTAACGTGGTTTATCAGTGGGTCGGCCATATCAGTGGGTTGGCCACTTTTACCTCGATTTATTATTCTACACTTAATACGCGTTTTCTTAATAATTAATTATGGAAATTCATTCTAAAGAAGCACGAATAATCTTAGCTATTGAGGCTATTGAATCAAATCCAAAATTAACAATTCGGAAGACAGCTCAGCTCTATAGTGTGCCTCGATCTATATTGGGTGATAGAATTCGAGGTAAACCTAATATGGCTGAAAGTCGACCAAAAAGCTATAATTTGACTGAATTGGAAGAGGAGGTTCTTATTCAATATATACTCGATTTGGATGAGAGAGGATTTGCACCTAAATTAAGTGATATAGAAGATATAGCAAATTATATACTCGAATCACAGGGTGCGAAAAAGGTTGGAAAGCTTTGGGCTTATTACTTTGTAAAACGATATTCAGAACTAAAGATGCGTTTTAATTGTATTTGTGACGGAACAGACGGCTCTCTTCCGCCCACTGGCTCATACTACATATAGTATGATATGACGGCTCTTTTGGACCTTCCTTTCACAGCTTAGAGCCCTAGCTCTATAGCTCTAGACCTAGGCATCTTACGCCTAGGACCCTTTCACCCTTTTGGGCCTAGCCCTTATGGCTCCCAATACCTGTATATATAGTCCTCCTTTTAGCATCCTACATAGCTCTTCACTTGTAGATTCTAAGTACACAATCGGAGTCCTGTTTATACCCTTTTGGTCACAGTATTTATAACTTTCAAAAAGCTTTCTGTAAAGATCCAAAGCTTATTAAAGAATAATTCCGATTGGTATCGAATATACGGGCAAAATATAGTATTCAGGATTACAACTTCTACAATTTTGATAAAACCGGTTTTATGATAAGTGTAATATGCCCTGGAATGGTTGTAACTAGTATTGAACAATATAATAGAAACAAAGCAATACAGCCAGGCAATCGAGAATAGGCTATAACAATTATATATAGTAATAAAAAGAATTGGACTATACTATTATTTTTAATGATGCAAGGACAATATCACCTTTCTAATTAGTATATGGAAAGCGATTTTCCTGCAGATTAGATTATTAAACCTATTTCTAATAGATGGACAAATAATAAGATGGGTTTAGATTAAATAAAGCATTTCGACAAGTATACTATTTATCGAAGAAAAGGCAAATATCGAATGTTAGTATTGGATGGGCACGAAAGTTATGAATCAATATCTTTTCAGTTATATTACAAATCAAATGATATTATATACATAAAGTTATTATTGTATTCAAATCATTTAATCCAATCATTTAATGTTGGATGTTTTAGTATATTAAAACGAGCATATGATTCACAAATTGAAGGATTTATCAAGGCTTATATCAATTATATCTTTAAGGTTGAATTCTTTATAGTTTTCAAAGCTGTATATCAACAATCGATTACAGTTCAGAATATGAAAGCTGGCTTTCAAGGAATAGGACTAATACTATTCGACTCTCAAGCTGTGCTTTCGAAATTGGATATTCGAATTCGTATACCTACCCCTTTATCTATTCCCTTGGAATCTGCCGATTCTTGAGTCTCTCAAACACCTTATAATCTAATTGAAGTTCTTTTACAATCGACTTTAATAAGATCTCGAATTACTCGATATCAATCAAGCTTTCTTATATCTATATTCGAGATTGTAGCTACTTTGGCTAAGGGTACAGAACAACTAGCTTATAAAGTTACACTTTTAAGTATAGAAAATCGTATATTTCGAAAGACAAATGAGGTATTAAACAAACATCGATATATTAAAAAAATTCAACTATGGAATGGAGAAGTATTTACTGGACAGGAAGCTGAGGATATATTATTACAACAAAAGATAGAGATTCAGATTCGACACAACAAGCATCAAAATGGGAAAAATTCTAATAAGGAATCTTCTATTAATCGATACTGTAGTAAATATGGGAAGACTGGTTATAATTCAAGAACTTGTCAGAATGATATAATAGATCCTAGTTTATTAGATTCTTAACAGTTTTAATCGATTCATTAAATTGTTCTTGAATAATATAGCTTTGAAGTAATAAATCGAGGTAAAAGTGGCCGACCCACTGATATGGCCGACCCACTGATAAACCACGTTATAGTTCAGCTAGAACCTTAAATCTTTATCCCTGCACTTGCATACCCAGTTTTGTGAAAGTATACGGGTATTCGAGTGCCGCGGTACCATGCGTCGTACAATGAAAGTGTATATGGGGTCGTCGTGGTCGTGGTCCACATTTCATAACATTAAAGGACATCCATTTTGACCTATATGTATCTTATATAAATTGACATAAATGAGTGACAAGTTGATATAATGATCGTTTACACTCACTAACTCTGGATTCGCTCGGGTTATCACGTGATTTACCAACAAGACTTATCATTTTGTGCCCACCTTTTCTATGTAACAACACCATATACTTTTTTGATTGCCAGACTTATAGATAACATGCCTATGCTGCCAGAAAGTCCGCAATTCGGGTAAGAAGCTAGCATGCATGTGCCACATGGTGGTAATCTACAACAGGAATAGCCTAGTTTTTAAACTTCCGGAGTTGCAACTTTCTTAAGTTCCCAGGTTACGGACTTTCTGAAGACATGAGTACTTCGCGTTAGCGAAAAGCTTCGAGAAGCTTAACTTCCATCTGACAATCCCCACCCATTTGATCTTTTGCATCCATCATTCAGAGCTGATGCTAACTAAATACGGATCAATGAGTTATTTAATCATCTTGATGGGCGGCAAATCGTTGTCAATAGAGTGAGTGGTTTTGTTGACTTCCGATATATCCGCCCAGCGGATATGCAAAATTACCAAATATAGAAGACGCACTCCAATTACTGGTAGATGTAGGTGTCAGTGGAGTGGAGATGTTGTCGCTCAGTCATGAAGGGGATGTAGAGTCTCCAATGTATACCACTCTCTTAAGATATAAGTATCATCTCATTTCCAAGTATCAAAATATTTCATTCCAGTCATTCCATTCATCATCATCATCATCATCATCATCATCATTATTATCTTACAGCTTTGCAACGAACTTCTGATCGCTTCCTCACCATAATAATAAACTTTACACATCTTTCAATCCATTGCTTGCCTCATTATATTATCTCACAAACATGGACTCAGTTCAGACACAAACTCCGGCTTACGGACAGCGATTGCTGCCAACCTTGGTTGACGAAGAGGCCATCAACAATCCTGATCGTATGATCTATTCATTTGCGAAAACCATAAAAGCAGCAGACGGTTTCATTGGCGTCTCGAACAAGCGCCTGGCGAATGCGATCAACAGAGCCGCCTGGTGGATTGAGAAATTGCTTGGAAAGGGCAAGAACTTCCAATCTATAGGATATATTGGCCCAGGTAAGTCTAGAACATCAAATGACTACCTCAAGACTGCGCTCTAACCATGTTGAAGGGGATCTGAGATATCAAATTCTTATCTTGGCACTTGTCAAAGCTGGTTACAAGATACTCCTCACTTCTCCTCGGAACAGCATCGAGGGACACCTCAATGTCATAAAACAAGCCGAATGTAACATCTGGTTACTACCTAGTCAAAATGCTGGCAATATCAGTGAAGTTCTCAAGGTCCACCCAATGACAGTCCTCGATTGTCCAGAACTTGATTTCTTCATCGACGAAACTCCTGTTCCACACTATGCCTACAACAAAACTTGGGCAGAGGCCTCTACCGAACCTGTCCTTGTCTTGCACACATCCGGATCAACAGGTCTTCCCAAAGCTATTGTTATACGACACGCTTGGGGTGCCGTAATGGACACACATCATTTATTAAAGTGTGAAGACGGAGAACAACTTAATTCGAATTTATGGGCAGGATCTAGAGTCTTTTCAAGCTTTCCTGCTTTCCATGCTGGTGGTGTTTTACAAAGCCTCTTCAGCGCAATATATAATGGACTCGACTTTGTATTGGCATCACCATCAGTTCCCGTAACTTCCGATTTAGTGGATGATATGGTGGAACATGCCAATATTAATGCCTTGATCATTGCTCCATCCACAGTTGAGGAAATCGCCTTATCCCCCTCGAGTTTGGAGTTGTTGCAGAAGAAAAACATCAAGTTCATCTGCTTTGGTGGCGGGCCAGTTGGGCAAAAGGCTGGAGATATTCTTACTAAGATTACGATTCTTCAGAATATGATTGGAATGACCGAAGCTGCCGGTTTCGCACACATCTGGACAGGAAGAGATGATTGGCGATACTTCAAATTCCATTCAAGCAACGGTCTCAAATTTGTCGAGAGGTCAAATAACCTTTATGAGATGTTTGTGGAGCGAGACCCAAAGTTGCAAAAGTTTCAAGGAATGTTTCATACCTTCCCCGAGCTCAATGAGATTTCTACCAAAGATTTGTATCAAAAGCACCCTACGAAACCAGATTTATGGCTCTACTGCGGCAGGGCAGATGATATTATTGTCTTTTCCAACGGCGAGAAGCTTAACCCAGTCACGATGGAGCAGACCATCAATGAACAACCCGATGTGCGCTCAGCAATCATTATTGGGCAAGCTCGCTTTCAGCCTGCGGTCATCATTGAGTTGATGAGACCGGAAGAAGTGACTGAAGAAAACAAAAAGGATTTGGTTGCTCGTATCCAACCTTTCATTGACGCCGCAAACAAAGCCTCGCCAACCCATGGTCAGATCAAGAATGGCTTTGTGACCTTCGCCAAACCCGAAAAGCCGTTCTTCCGCGCTTCAAAGGGGACTGTTCAACGTGCAGAAACGATCAAGCTTTATGAATTGGAAATCGAAGAACTCTTCGCCAATACAGAGGATGGTGATGATAGTGGCCTCGAAACTGGTTCTTTGGCATCATTGACTTCCACATTGAAGGATCTGGTGGCTAAGATCGCTGATGTGAAGGAAGTAAGTGTCGATGAGGATGTCTTCGCAACCGGATCATTTAATTCTTTGCTTGTGTTCACTCTCTTGCGAAAAGTGAGATCGGCTTTAAAGAAGGACGGGGTCGAGAGCCAGAAATTGCAAGCCAGTGTGATCTACAACAACCCAACTGTAACATCTCTTGCATCGGTTCTGTACAAACTTGCTCACCCATCGGAGAACCAAGAGGATGGTTTAAAGACAGATTTCGATGAGAGGCAGCAAATGTTTGACAAATACGCTAAGAATCTGCCAACCAAGATCTTCGGAAGTGCCTCTAAGGTTTCGACACCAGAGATCTCAGTCATCCTGACCGGAAGTACTGGTTCGATGGGCAGTTACATGCTCGACGACTTGGTTGCATTACCCCACATCTCGAGGATATACGCTCTCAATCGAGCTGCCAATGGCGCAGAAAGACAAAGAGGAGCGAGCGATAGCCACGGTCTCGAGACTGATTTCAGTAAGGTCCGATTTTTCAAGACAGACATGCAGCAACCCCGCTTTGGCCTCGATCAGGAGAAGTACGACGAGTTGTTGAGCAATGCTACTCATATTATCCATAACCAATGGCAAGTTGACTTTAACTTGAGTCTGGCTTCCTTTGAACCTCATATCCGAGGTGTCCGCAATCTCATCGACTTTGCTGCTGAAAGCAAACACAATGCTATCTTATCTTTCATTTCTTCTATTGGTATTGCTCAGGGAAAGAACTGGGAGAAACCAATTCCGGAAGCTATCATCGATGATTGGAATGCCGCGGCTTTGGGTTACGGTGGCTCCAAGCTTGTCTCTGAAGTCCTTTTGGCGGAAGCCCAAAAGGCTGGTGGTGTTCGTACTCAGGTACTACGTGTTGGTCAAGTATCTGGTCCAATCAAGAACGAGAAGGGTAGATGGAATGTTCAGGAATGGATCCCAACCGTAAGCCTCTCACCTAGTCCTATGAGAAAATAAATGACACTAACCACATATGATAGGTTGTCTCTACATCGCAATACATGAAATGTGTACCAAAGAACTTAGCATTCAAGAACCGCATTGATTGGGTTCCCGTCAACGTCCTCTCCAACGTTATCCTCGACCTTGCCGATCTCACCAACCCCTCCAAGACTTCCACAGAGTACCCATCAACCCCCTTCTTCCACCTTGTCAACCCCACCTGTAGTACATGGTCCGACATTTATCCCGTCCTCACCAAGAACATCGGCCCCGAATGTGAACTTGTTGAATGGTCCGAATGGGTAGCTCGACTTCAAGCTTCGGCTGAGCGTGGAGAAATCAATGAGAATCGTGGAATTAGATTATTGGAATTCTATGAAGGGATGGAGAAGGGATCCTCATTAGCGACTTTGGAGACCGAGAAGACGGTGAAGAAGAGTGAGACTCTGGGTAAGTTGGGACCGGTTACTCAGGATTGGATGAAGTTATGGATGAGACAGTGGAGTGCTTGATTGTCGCGTTGAAGATTGGGATAGACTGGTCAGGCATTGCGATGGCGCTTATTATAAATTGGAGCATTGGAATGGGGTTATTGTAGAACATTAGCGTTTACTTTTGAATGAATGATGATATAAATCGAAATTGTTCCCTTTTGCATTACTTGAGTAGATGGAAAAAGCCACATGTGGGTACGCAATTCGGAAAATGGTGCCGAAATTCCGCCGTCGGGATCAAAACTTCCCCTCTTCTTCTTCTTCTTCGTTCCAATGATTTTCTCGGTTCAACATCATCTTCTACACCTCTAAAACACAGCATTCAATAATCTATGAACTCTAGGAGCTAGGAGCGAAGAAAGAAATACAATGTATGGCTGAGTACATATATAAGAACTTGGGCTCTAATCACAACAAGCAGCGCACATATACAGTTACAGTACAACGTGATACAACAACGGGTTCTTATTGAATCATGCGATACAAGCAAACAAAATAACTGCATCTTTCCTGCACGCGAGAAATGAGTTCTAGTTTCTCGAGCCAGTCATTGTTGGACTCGGCGATCACGATCTGCAAGTATCCATGAAATAGATTCAGGGTCGGGATAAAAAACATTGAAATTGTCATCAGATGGATCAGAGTTCTAATTCAATTAGAAGGTCTAGTTTGTTGACTTTGATTCTTAACAAGGTTGGTTATCCGGTAGATGAGTGCGGGGGGGGCTGCATGCGGAGCGCGGGGGTGGAGCTTTCATCGCGACGAAGATATTGAGCGAAGCATTTCATTAGCTGTCGTGGCTACTACACAAACGGATTCCCCTGCATAGCACATATAGTAGTTATATCTGTTAATCTAAACTTCGTATTTCATATGCATCTATGCAACAATCGTAACTCACTTGCCGGCCAGGAAAGTTCTTGCAACGTATCATTAGGGTTTGCGAGCTTCCTCAATGAGAACTGATATGCAATGTCAGTGGGCAAGGGCAACTGCATGCGCGGCACTAGTTCCTTATCTTTTGAGGGGTAATATGGGATGGGTGAGTAGATCTTATATACTCCGAGTTCTGTTTCTTCTGATGTTCTTCACGGCAGAAGATTCTGTGTCAGTTTCGTTGATTTGCTTCTCTTACTGCTTGGCATGGCTTTCTTGAAGGATCTTTACTTGCTCGTGTTTTTCACGATTTGGTGTGTCGTCGAAGGCCAAAATTCTACCACTAACTCGTCTACGTATGATGTACTCGATTATGTTGATCAATTAATTGGGAGTAGTAATGGAGGTTCGAATCTCGGATGCTATCCTTTCTCGCTCCTGCTGACGATATTTCAAAGGAAATGTGTTTCCTGGTGCAACACTCCCTTTCGGTAAGCGATTCACCCAATCGCTCTTAAGAGTATAAAAATCTCCCAGACTAGCTATGATCACGATATCAACCGGATGAAGTTTCTGTAGCTTTGAAATCTGGACTAAGTTTCAAGCTGATGAAATCATGTAGGAATGGCGAAAGCTGTAGCCGACACAAATTCTGGTAGTAATCAGGGTGGCTTCACTACCGATGGAAGTAATGTTACCGGATTTTCCAGCATGCATGATTCTGGAACCGGTGGCTCTCCATCGTTAGGAAATTTTGCCTTGTTTCCTTATGCAGGATGCAAAGGAGATATTGTAGATGGATGTATCTATCCAAAGAAATCAAGGGCAACTCCTTTCATACCGAATTCGGTTAAGGCATCTCCAGGATATTTCAGTCTCACACTATCGAGTGGTGTTGCTGTGGATATGACGACAACCCAGCATACATCACTGTTCAGATTTAAATTTCCTTCTACTTCAAATGGAAACTCTTCCAGTCCATTGATCTTGATGGACTTGACAGATTTGTCGGATTCTCGTCAAGACAATGCAAGCATTTCTGTTGATGCGACTACTGGGAGAATGACCGGGAATGGTAAATTCTTGCCAAGTTTTGGTAGTGGAAGTTACATTCTTTACTTCTGTGCAGATTTTTCGGGTGCTCCACTTCGAGATAATGGTATTTTTGCCAACAGTCGCGCCAGTGCTGATGTCAAAGATCTCAAAATCTCTCGTTCGATCAATGGTTACCCTCTTCCAGGAGGGGCATTTGTTCGGTTCCAATCACCTGGTGTTGGAGTACTAGCGCGTGTTGGTGTCAGCTATATTAGTAGCGATCAAGCATGTGCCAGTGCCGAAGCAGAGATTCCAGACTTTGACTTTACCGCTGTGCAGAATGCGGCAAAAAGTACTTGGCGTCAAAAGATTTCACCAATCAAAGTTTCAACGAAAGGAGTTGACTCTTCTATCTTGAGAAACTTTTATAGTGGGATATATAGAACTATGGTCAATCCCCAAGACTATACCGGCGAGAACCCACTTTGGAAGAGTGATGAACCTTACTTTGACTCCTTCTACTGGTATGTTCCGATTGCCAATTTTGAAAGCATTACTGATCTGTTTTCAGCATTTGGGATCTATTCCGTTCACAGACACCCTTCTTGACGGTGTTAGATCCTGCTACTGTAGCAAGGATGGTTCGCTCACTAATTGATACATGTTAGTATCACTCAACGTCAGTATGACACGTGATATGCTGATATGTACTTCAGATGTTCACGAAGGATGGCTTCCTGACTGCCGTATGAGTCTTTGCAAAGGATTTACTCAAGGTGGTTCAAATGCAGATAATATACTCGCAGATGTTTACATCAAGGGCATTACCGATGGCATAGATTGGGATCTTGGCTATGAAGCCGTAGTTAAAGATGCAGAAGTCGAACCTTACGATTGGTCAAACGAGGGTCGTGGTGGCCTAGACTCTTGGAAAGCCCTCGGCTATATTCCTGTTCAAGATTGTATGTCTCTGTCTGCACCAAATTGCCAGATATCTCTATTATTATCGATGGACTCGAACTAATATCATATAGTTGACTACAAAGGGTTCGGTACCATGACTCGAAGTGTGTCCAGAACACTAGAGTATAGTTACAATGACTTTGTAATCGCGAGCATAGGGTCCGGTCTAGGAGGCCACGAATCAGATGTACAGAAGTATCTCGACCGCAGCGAAAACTGGCAAAATCTATACAACGCTGCACAGACATCGTATCTCTCAAACGGCACGAATACAGGTTTCAAGGGATTCTTCCAGCCGAAATATCTCAATCAAACTTGGGGACTTCAAGATCCTTTAAAGTGTAGTAATATAGACTTCAACCCCAATAGCGTCTGCTCGTTACAGAACTCAGGTTCTGAGACCTTCGAAAGTAGTATCTGGGAATATTCTTTGTAAGTTTTGTGCGCTTGCTTTCAGTCTTCAGTCTTATTTGAACGTCCGTAGAGAAACTAACTGGTTCTTTCCCTTTCAGCTTCGTACCCCACGACCAAGCAACCCTCATCACCATATTCGGAGGACCCGCAGCTTTCGTCAAACGTCTCGACTACCTCCACGATAATAATATAACCTACATCGGCAACGAACCCGCTTTCCTCACCGTATACCAATATCATTATGCCGGTCGTCCCGCTCTCTCAGCTCTACGTTCCCACTTCTATATACCATCGTATTTCGCACCAACGAACGACGGTTTGCCCGGTAACGATGATTCGGGCGCTATGGGTTCCTTCCTCGCTTTCAGCATGATAGGACTCTTCCCCAACCCAGGTCAAGACGTATACCTCATCATCCCCCCCTACTTCGAATCCGTATCCATCACCTCCCCTCTCACGAACAAAACCGCCATTATCAGAAACGTAAATTTCGACCCTGCGTATAAAAACATATACATACAATCTGCAACATTAAACGGTAAACCGTATACGAAAAATTGGATCGATCATAGTTTTTTTACGGAGGGAAAGGAATTGGTGCTGGTGCTTGGAAAGAGGGAAAGTAGCTGGGGAACTCAAGTTAGTGATCTACCACCGAGTTTGGGGGAATATGATAGTGGAGGATATAAGAACGGGATGGGAAATAATACGGCGAGTGGTCAGCCGGTTGCGAGGGCGGAGACTCAGAGGAGGGCGCTGGTCTTTGATGCTAGTGAGGGAGTAGTGGGGGTTAGCGGGAGTGGCAATCATGGTGGGTCGGGAGTTAAGACGGGGGCCAATTATTGGGCTGAGGCGGGTGGATGAGATGAGAGGGAGTGGATTTGAAAGTTTGCATAGGTATATGAATCGTAATCGAGGGGAGGTATAATCATTATATATGGAAGTATGAGGAGGTACGAAGTACGATTCTTTGAAATATATTACTAGGAATTTAGGGACAATATTCTTCCATATTTTCAACAACTGGGCCAAAGTATACATACAATCCCTCCAATAACGCAGATATTCTCATCCCATCTTACCAGAAGACTGAAGTAAATCCTCAAAATCCAAAATTGAGAAAATCACTACTGTGAGAGAATCGCTAGTACCGATTTCCTTACAAATAAAAAATTTATTCATTTTTGAGGTATGCAACAAAACATTTTATTTCTCAAATGATACTAATTCTTTCTAGAGTAGTACTCAGGAGTCTCGATTGTTAGGTGAAGGAATCTTGTAAATATATGACAAAGTAGATACCGGTAGTAGAATGATCTACGACAAACAGCGCCGTGAATCGATTTATTGCACATGCTCAATATGTCACTATACTATACAACTCGACTACCCGTACCACTCCCCAAACAATTTACAGAAGGAATTCCCATCTTCTTCTCAATGAAACTCACCACATCCACCATCTCATCCTCAACTTCTTGCCAACTAGAAGATCTATGAATATAAAACCAAACCACCGGGTCCAAATTGATATAATCTGCTCAAATAGTATGTAATGTACGTGCACCACTTGTGCTTTGGTATTTTATATAACTTGAGATGATATGACTGCATCATGAACAGCAGTTATTCCTCTCTCCGAAAAACTGCGGAAAGCGTATCAGATTACGCCTCTTCCTGTCGATATCGGCAATGGAAATGTATATCAGTGCGCAGCTTTCCGGAAGGCAACTCCAGAACACTTTCCTGGTCGCGTCATCAATCAAGATCTTCCTGAGACGCTAGTTGAGATTCCCAAGTACGACGATATTGAGATGATGAATGACCCAGAACTATCGCGGAAAACAACAGATCCAAGGTTCGTATTAAAGCAGAGTAATAATTCTTGACAAACACTCTGAGTCTTTCTAGGTGCGAAGATATACTCCATCCACCAATGTCTCCACAATCTTCCAGATGAGGAAGACGGCTCTAGCTAGTAGTTGACGACGGCGAGCAAGGCAAGCGCACGAAGGTGTCATATCAAGTGCTAATCCTTAGCAATAAAACACTCACTCAATAATTTAGAGTGTATAAAGTATCAGAGTACTCCCTATTCATCGTGATGTTGAATAGGATGTCACATATATGCGACGAATACTCTTTTTGAGATACCCGCTACTCAAATCCTTGACCCATTATTGGACAATTGTATTCAGTACCGGTATAGCATGACGCGGTAATCTGATAATCAGGATGTGATAGTTTCAATTCGAGGCGTGTCTTAAAGGTCTCGGTAGATAAACTAATTGATAAGTTGATTGGATACTAATTTGAATAAGGGGAGAGTTGTGGATGATCTGGAGTTTGTGGTTTCTTACCTCACAATCAATTTTTAATGTTGAGATAAGATCTCGGAATTCTGCCAATTCTTGTAAGAGTTGCGGCCATCACTTACCGCACCCCACCACTTTTTCATACCTTATTTTTAAAGTTTAATTATAAATCAACACTACAATAATTTTTTGTGAAAATGAGGATACATATTAATTAATAGTAGATAATCCTCGTACTTCAATCACATCTTCTATTTTACATGTTAATCTTTCAGTATATGGCCTGAAATCTAAGAGATCTATCTACCCTTTCCCACAACCTCCTCAATTCTCTCTTCAATTCCTTAATAGAAATGGGTACAAATGGTAGTTTTTTCAGTTCCTCCTTTATCCAGCGCCATACCTTTTCCATTGGGTTGAGATCTGGTGAAGAAAGGGACCAATCGAAACCTCATACA